TTATGTTTTTGTTGCCTAGAGACTGACGATTTTATCAAGAAAAGTTGCCATCTATTAGTGTAACGTGTGGTATAGCTTGCTGTTTGAGCAGCTGTGTCTGGGCTTGTTTTATCGCCAAAAATATTTGATTGCAGTTTGTTTCGTAGTTTCATATCTATTTTTCATGGATCACCATTTTTCTGAATGGTTTCCATTTCTTTTTTCTTTTTTTCAATCTGTTCTTTATTTTTCCCTTTCTTTCGTTTTTCTTTTAATTTCTCCCCTCAGCTCCGTTGTTTTCCATTTTCAGTTTCCCTCTTTTCATTTATTCATTTCAATGTTTATGTATTTATTGCAGTGACTCATGTAGATGATATTTTTGTAGTCTGTGAATAGCTAATGCTTGAATCTATTAATAAATATACAAATTCAGTCATTTATTCGTTTATTTATTAATTCAATATTCCCTTACGTTCTTTATCATTTTACAACCCTTCAGGATCAATAAAAATATTTTTTAAATTCTTATTTCCATGCTTAACGTTTCCTCTGAGCTTTGATTTTTTTGCTTTTTTTTCTTTTCTTTTTTTYCCTACAATTCCTCAATGTTCATCCAATCGTATTAAAAGTAAAGAAGCCATTTAAAATTCTTAGAAATACATTCAATATCAYAAAGAAAGGAAAAACTAAAGGGTTCGCATCGTTTCCGGAAAAGAACATTTTCTATTTTTATCCGCTCATCTCGGTCATTTTACATTCTAATTTCCTGACCAAAAATAATCCCTCTTATTAATAACGAACGTACGGGAAAAAAAAAACGATTCTTATGCAGATATAATTTACTATATACTAACATCATAAAAGAGTATAATATTGTTTATCTTACAGAGTCTTTAATAACAACAAAATAAATGTGCCTATACGTATTAGTAAACACAAATTTGCATTAGAACGGAAGCATCGAAAAGTAATTTAAAATTGTGGACATGTGAACAAAAAACGCGCGCGTTAGACGAAATACATAAACGTCTYAATAACACGCATGCGACACCATAAAAGATTAATCGACCAAATAAGAAAAACATTGTTTTTTAATATTTCTAATCCATATGTGATAAGCGACGTTTCTTTAGAAACTGATGATGTCGAGAAAAAATTATATTTTCTCTGTGTATAATARACACGTAAGTGCTTTATTGATCTTGGTGTCCGGTTTTTCTCTCTTTCTCCTGTCAAATTATCGCATAATTACSGATGAAATATAGATTCACAATTATGCATTATCACAAATCATCCAAAATTTTTCAGCATATGGTTGCAGCTTTCAAAAAATCAGTTTGTGGTCAGACTTTTCTTCATCATKTTCTTGGCTTTTGTAATTAAGAAAAAATACTTTTATCTCGGAGCATTTTTGGGGTTAGCACAGTGATTATAATATAAACATCGTTTTTCGAAAAGATCAAGAGTGACTGCGTGAAATTACATTGGAATATAGATCTATTTTCACAAGACTTGGGGAAATGTTGCTTTAATGTTCTTTCTCAGTGTAGATGTTTTCTATTTTGCTCATCCCGTTTATAACATAGAACCATACTATAGGACAACATTGGATTAGGACGAATCCTTTATCATTAGGCACCTTATTGACCATGTACCCAACGTGGTTGAGAATTTTCAACGCATAAATTCCGGGCCTCGGGGCATTTTCTTCAATAATATAAGAATAAACGCCACAACATTTTTTTTAGTCGCTATCTTCTTGATCAAAAAACGAAGGGAAATTAACGAAAYACACAAAGCTTTTCTATAAAAGGGGACTTTAGTTTCTGATAAGTCAATTTAGTCATCCCTAGTACATGACATAAAATATTAAAGCTTCACTTTAAGTGAATATAGACTACAATMTGAACGTTTAGAAGTCAAAAAACACCTTTTTGGTTGTCATAGCAAGTTTGTTAGGTTAAAACACATAAAACATACGGCGATAATGAATTCAWCAAAAATGAAAATATTATGCTCACATCCCTTTCWTTCTGCTACGTCCCAATATCCAAGTTGTGAAACAAAGTTTTCAATTCACTAGTTGTCCTATTCATGACTGCAATGCGCATATTAATAACAATTTCAATAAGGAAACTTTCGAAATTGGACGCGAATGGTGAGTTTGCTTTTCAAGCTCAGCGGTAGCGTCATTAAAAATTCAAAACCATATCAACAGCTTCGTGTCATTGTAAACGAAAACTAAATACTCTTTTACTCGAGATAATAGCACGGTGAGAAACTGAATATCCTTAAAAACATTGAAATCGAAGCGCGCTTCACAGAACTCTGGCTTCAATTCAATCGGTGAGAGGAGAAAAGCCYGTTCACAATTGTGAAGCGCAACAGAAAATTGTACAAAAAATTTGATTATTCCATCTTATTCGTTCAAGCCACCGATCTCTTATGTTGGATTATATTCTTGACTCCTTGGACAAAAGCAGCTGCCACATCGAGATGATCACGTGAGCTGTTCTAACTTTTATTTTTCTCGCTAACTTTGGACAAGTCCGGCTGTTTTTTTAGAGCGTTACCACGAGAGCAACGATTGGGGAATCTATACTCCGGTGTTACATATTCCGTGTACAGTACTGCTCTTATATAATGATACTATMCAGCCATGCTTTAGTAGTGGTCTGGGCATCTGCTTTTATGTAAATTGTTTACTCGAAAACCGCTTTGACGACGGTCTTTGATCTCTAGTGATCTCTGGAAGCAATTTGGTAAGAGGTTCGCGATAAACAAGAAGTGAAAATTGGAAGAGCGAAATGGAGGCCGTTCTTGTATCAGGCGCACAAGCCATCCAAAATGAAAATTACGGCTTGGCCGAGGGATTAGACGGTTCTTGGAGGTGTAGAAGACCGTCGGCCGCAGGAAGTTTTCCGGGATTTTCTCCATCAAAAAGGACAGCGGAAACAGAAGAGAAGCGACGCAACAGCAGTTCGAGAAGCATAGAGCATGGCTTGCGTAGCGCTCACCCGGCGGCTATTTCTATCCATAGAGAAACCAAGCCGAAGAAGAAAGAAAAACGAGTAAAGATCAACATTAGTGGGATGTCGTACGAGACTCTTGAAAGTACGTTGGCGCGCTTTCCAACCTCATTACTAGGAAGTCCTGAGAAACGTGCTAATTACTTTGACGCCAAGAAGAACGAATATTTTTTCGACCGTAATCGAGTCGCTTTTGACTCAATTTTGTATTTTTACCAATCAAATGGCAACTTGTTATGGCCTGTTGACCTTGACAAGAGGACTTTCCTTGGGGAAATTGAATTTTTCGAGTTGCAAGATCTCATTTCCCCTGATTTTTTCAAAGAATTCTGCTTGGTTTCAATGGAAGATCCGCCACCGATGCCGAAAAACTTCCTTCTCAGAAAAGTTTGGGAGGTTTTTGAATATCCGCACTCATCAATCCCAGCAAAGGTACTAGCAATTTGGTCTGTAGGGGTGATTTTACTGTCTATCGTGATATTCTGTATTGAAACTTTGCCGGAGCTACGGAAAACTCGCTTCGATAGCAACTCTCCACTCAACAAGATTGAAATCTTCTGTGTGATTTGGTTTACTTTCGAACTTTTCGTACGTTTTATTGCGGCGCCGAAAAAGCTGGACTTCATACGCTCGTTTTTGAACGTCATTGACTTTATAGCAGTTCTTCCATACTACATAATATTGGGAATTGGTAGCTCCGCGTTTGAATCAAAAAAGAACAGTTCTCTAATCTCCTTTCTTCGCATACTACGGCTTATTCGTGTTTTCCGTATTTTTAAGCTCTCTCGTCACTACAGAGGGCTTAAAGTTCTCGGGAAAACWCTCAAAGCAAGCTTACGGGAACTGCTTCTTCTCACTTTCTTCTTGTTAATGGGAGTTATAATATTCTCAAGCGCTGTTTTCTATGTTGAAAGCGCTCACTTCTCGAGCATCCCAGAAGCCTTTTGGTTTTCGGTGGTTACGATGACAACCGTTGGTTATGGCGACAAGGCACCGGTGTCATCGTGGGGGAAGTTGATCGGYTCTTGCTGCGCCATYGCAGGTGTCTTAACCCTAGCTCTACCAGTTCCAGTCATAGTCTCAAACTTTAGCTATTTTTATAATCAAGATAGAGAAAGGAGAGAATTTGAGAACGATAAAAGGCCTGAAGAGATTTCAGGAGGAGAGAGCACTTCTAAAATAAGCAAAATTTGACTTCACTACCGAGGTTTTTCTTCATATTTTTTAATTGGATTAAAAAGATTTGAGAAYAACACTCCATTGTCTTTTGAATTGAATGGAAACGTTCAAAAAAGGAACATAGAGCTCTATTATGAGTCAAACTTCAATGATTCTAAGAATATAATGAATAGTGCGCGTGAAGAAGCTGCCAAATGGAACAWAACATCCCATTACAGAAATTGTTAACTTTTCAGTTCCTGAATTGTACCTCAGCAAATCTTAAAACAGTCGAGGAAAATTGAACTATAAGTGTCTCTTTACGACGATATGAGACAAATCTTTTGATATGACAATTCCTGGATCAGTATAAGTAGTTTTCCAATCTTTTAGATATCCGACTCAGAGAAGATGTACAGCTATCACTAAACGCTTGAAACCATCTTAAACCACCAACTATATTGAAAATGGATGGGAGAAAAGCGTCATATCTATCTTTGCGATTCTGAACAATCGCTCTTAACAGCTTAATTGGTAATGTAAAAGACTATTTTCTGGGAAGAATGTTTTTTTGAATTGAATACAAGCGAAAGAACAATCGCTTACAAAGATGATTCTTGTGCACCTGCTCTCTAACCAGGAGACCGTAATTAATTCTTCGTATGTCAGCGAATAATCAACACAGGCAGCTCGGAAACATTGAAATAACTATCTCTACCGCAATTCATACAGGAAAATCTATTTGCATACTGTTAATACTAGCCATCTTGTCAAGGCAAATAGACGCCATTGCATTGTTAAACGTTTTATTCCTAACGTGGATTTTTGGCTTGTTATTAAGGATACATTTTCATATTTTCAAAAATTGATAATGGATTTTCAGTATAGGTATCATTTTTTTTTCAGTGGAATATGAATATGTCAGGTGGGAATTGACATAACGTTTTTATATATAAGAGTACAATGTACATCAASAAAATCTTTTGATTCCGAGTGTGTTTTCTCGTCGGGTTTAATCTTTCTAAATATAAATACGACGTGTTTCTATCTTTCAAGGGGGGAAAATAGACAAATACATAATTGAAAAGATTAAAGATGTTAATCTTCAACATAGTTYTGAGATGAATTTTATACTTGATGTTAAATAATTAATTTTAGTGACACTTTGTTTTGGTTTTCAAACGAAAAAGGTTCTAATTTAGCGCTAAGCCGGAAAAATCTGATTAGATAGGCTTTGATGAGAGGTATAGATTTACGCGAAATCAGTTCTAAATGGAAATTGCTTAGTAATATTAAACCTAAAAAGGTAGAAAAAAAACACCCAGAGTTTGAACTGAACAAGAAATAAATACAGGAAAGCTAGAAAGATTGTGAAAAAAGACTCATAAAAAAGGACGCAGGGGAAAACCTATATWCRGCGGCCATTTTGAAATATATTAGTTCATGTAGCAAAAATTGGCCATTTTCAATATAACTAGTTCAAATAGGTAGTGCGTTGAGAAAATATTGTACTGGGCTTAATAATAACAGTCTTAATTGAAAGTCAAATATCTGCAGTTCATTAACATACACGAGAATTTTCTTTAAAAAAWTAGCTGTTGTTTTGTCGTGCACTTGATCACATTATTCAGCACAGCAACACTGACAACAGCACCTTACAACAACAACAACAAAAACATTTTTTTATACGTTTTGATAAATGTGAGATTTATAATGAGAATTATTTGATAACAGATCAAATAAATCACTGGCCTTGATAAACAAAATTRGTTGAAGAAAATAAGCAACATTATAAGCTTTGTAAGCTCATTAGCTGGAAAACTGATCGTGCATGTTATAATATCTAACCATGGTCCTATACTCGCGTTAAGGAACTCATGAATATGCAGATCCTGGGAATTTCGGGGGGTATAAAGGTCGTGCGTGGCTCATAAACCATGTTAGCCTAGTAATAACTAGGGACCATTATCAACCAGCATTCAATGCGGGCGTGTTCTAGAATTTTCATATATAAAAAGACTAAAAAGGCATGACTTCAAATATCTCATTATTAATCTGTTTCCATCTGTCGGCTTTAAGCCGGGAATCTTGAATTACGTCCATTCAAAGATCAAAGAGGGCAATAATGTTACCCTGCATTTTATTGTGAAACATGAACAAATGACGCAATTTCAAAACGTGCACTTAAACTGACTTTTGCGCATGAAACGTTTGATAATTTCTTACTGTACTCGAGCTCTCACTAATCATTCCTTTGCGTAGTGTTTGAAGTTCTGCTCTTGCAAATAACTGAGCAGGTAACATCATCTCTATTTTRCGCTGGGTATAATTTTAGTCTTCGTGTTGGATACATTATTGCGCTTTACATCGTGATTAGTCTTATAGTGCGCATTGCTTTCGTTGGGTTGAAGATCTATCGTATTCTACTGCTCTTGATGGCATTCTTGTGATTTGTGGTAGACTTCTCAGCGTATATACCGCTTTGAGTTTAGCATTACGCGATTTAAGTGCATATTGTTTRCCAAGGTTATCTGGAAGAGTTACAGTGTTTTGTTGCGCAGCTATGCTTGCATAATTTGCATTGTCTTGCAGGTTGTTCTTATACATTTTGGGCTTCCTGTGGCTGTTTTTTTATTTTCTTTTGGTCGGGCACAGGAGGCCCGAAGCAAGAACATGTTGCAAAACTCCGCTGCAAAGAGACTACCGTTACGCTGTTTCTGTTGGAATCGTATTGCGTTAAGGTTTATTGCTCTTTATTCAGTCGGTTTTTTGGTGTGATAAAATGCTGAAGATAAATTTTGCCTAGCATTGTTAGGAAAAAGAGAAAACACACGGAAAATGGCAATGCGCACCGCGACGCTTTTCAACGTTGGCGATCCATTTGTCCAATGCATGTTTGTTGTGTGGGATGTGYATGCGCAGAGCTGGTGTACCGCGACCTTGTAAACGTTTTTGGTATTTACAGTCATTTATAGCTAGTTGAGTTTAATRTAATACATATAGTTGCTTTGCTTTATGAAATGATTGTAACTCCTATATGTGGCATAATATGATGGTCCACGAAACAATCGCCCATTGTTCAGGTGCTGCGGTGTTAGAGAGATGTTTCGGTATGTTGCAGTCTTTGAAAACGAAATTTAAAGGGACACTGTCAATGGCACGCATGCGCGAGTAAACTTGAAAACACTAGGCTAGTGTTTTCAAGTTTATGACTCCAAGTTGGCGCGACATAAATCAGCTCGTAAACGTAAAAAGATCTAGAATATTCCAAAGTGTGTCAAAGGCACCACAAAATGATTTACCTCTCGAAGGTAATACTTTCAAAGTCCGTTAGAGGTGAGACTGTTACTGCGCATGTCATCCATTGACAGTGTCCCTTTAATAGTACTGGTCTAGAGTGTACTAGTCAAATTAGAGCAAAAGTAATTAATGAATCTGAATGAGGTTGATGCCCAATTAAAGCTGATTATTATTTGAAGAGATGATTGTAGGTTGGATTTAACTTCATAGTTTACTTTGCTGCATCAACCTTGGTGTTAAATAAAATAAAACCTAGCTTTCGACCTACGCGGTCATCTTCAGGGTTATGCAATGAATCTCGTTACAATAACATAAAAACTTCACCATCAAAACAAAGAGCGCGTGATTATTATTGTTATTGCTATTTTAATACAAAGGACAGCGGTTGAATTGAACATGCGCATGGACCTCCCTGGATACTTCCCACCAATCTGCGCGTCGCGAGCATTTAAACGAGGTCGGGTCCAGAGAAAAAAGAGCAAATATGGAAGATAAAAAAAAACTCAGCCAAATCTCAAAATATAAGTAGTCGTAAGCTGAATTCACAAATTATAGCTGTCGGTTTTCGTATGACCGAGGCAAGGTGCATTACATTAATTAAAGATAGATCATAAATAAATCATCGACCAGAGGACGTTGCGCGCTGCTGTTTAGAGAAAGATTAACTCTTCAATAAATATAGCTAACTGTAGCCAGAAAGGACAAACAWGGTGCAAACAATCAATAAGAAAGAGAGAGAAAGATTAAACACTTGATTTGTTAATGATTTCATTTGCGTGGTGTTTACAGCCATTTTCAAATGAGCGATGATGAAGTGTCGTGATGGACATCTGAATCCTTTATTGACATAGCTGGAATGAGATCATTACTTAAAGGAGCAAACATTTGAGATAARCATTTTGAATTTCAGAGAATAACTCTTACCTCAGYCAGTTCAGTTCTAACAGGATGGTATCCGCTGACGTCAGTAAACAAATCATCAACTCTTGCACGTGYGCGCTTTGTAAGTTTTGGCGGGAAAATGTATCCAATAGACTTTCCATTGCTGATACTGAACTAGATAATGTTATCTTATGCATAGATTGTTCRGTTTTATGAGAAATTGCAATTCTTATATTTCAACAAGTGATTATACATATAGGCTTCATAAGAGTGGAGTATTTCTATATTGACTGTAAAGAGGTTTTTAGTCTAAGGGACATGTCAGTATATAATCTTTATATATTTTCTCAAGATTCTCTGCCACGAATTCCCGTACCCTATCAACAAGTGCAAAGAAACGGTTTTCACGTTTCAGACATTTGCAGGGAGAATAATGTTTAGATTCTTTCGTATTTTTCCATGCTACGATTCAGTGAAATGAAATATGGGCAGTGTAACTACTTGTAACAGACTGGCCTTCATATATGAGTTTTCCATCTAGTGTCTGAAAGTTTTCATAAAACTGTGCGCATGACAAAAGCAATGATGATCTGAACTGAGGAGTTTAAAAGTACTTTTAGCTTGGAAAAACATATTAACATATTTTTCAGTTGGTGAGATGCAATGCAGGAGAATGATCGTGTAGAGTTCTGCGCTAAGATGCTGCGACAAGATATTGTTGATATTTTCATTTGTGCGCAGTATCGAGTTRTTGTAGATGAAATGTCATGCATCATCATAGAGCGCTGCAAAATGTTGTTACATTCGCGCAAATCGACTTGTTTTCCATCTTTAAATGCATGAGCTAGTGGCCAAGGCAGCGGGTCGCAAGGGTATTACAAACAATTAAGTGATGGGGTGTTATCGACAATTCTAATCCGGTCACCTGCAGTTCTCTTTAGCAGCTCTTTTATCGCAGTGCACAACTACAATTAGATGYAGTGATCTATTCCTGAACTATTGACGGYAGCCTTATRCGCACTGAACTGACGCATTTTTCATAACAGATAAGAACTTAAATTAGACATCAGTCAAGACGGGGCGTTCACATGCCTAAGTTTTCAGTGTATTAAGTGATCATTTATATCTTTTTACAAGGACACCTGTCGTTCAGTAAAGATTTTACCTGTAATTATTATATATTTCTCATTCTCCACTTTCAGCTGCTTTTCCTTCGACCTTTTCATCATCCTTTTCTTTATTGCAATTTCTTTTTTTTTTAATTCACCCTCTAAACTGATCCTGGCAGCGCGCGCCTTTCTATTTAAAGAACTACATGGATATAGCTATGACTCAAAGGGTAGGATTTAGTCATCGTCACAATCGAGTTGACAGCACATGCTATCACTTATCTTGACATCATATCTCGTGTCCTATCTTCCTGGCTTTTACCAGCTTTTTTTCCTACTCAATTGCTCAGCTGCTAGTGTTGCGTCTTCCTCTTTTTCCAGCATTTGTTGTTWTTCATGATGTGTTTTTGCATACATTGTATGGCTTTCAGCATCGGGTATACCGCACAAACCTTTGAAGAGTTCTGTTTGCGTCCTCAAAGATCCTCGAAAATTACACTACAGTATATCCTCATTAGCATGCTGTTAACAGCATTAGCGCTTTTTTTTAGTAATGTGGTTTTTACCTGTTCTTTGTTACTTAAAACATTCCATGATAGCTTGACCAACATATTCACAGTCAGTGCTAGTACTGTTAGCAGTAGTTACCACCTTGAATGCTACATATCCGTTTTGCATACAGTGAGCTAAATAGAATAAATCTATCTTCTTWCTATCCGTATGTTTTTCTTTTCAATTTTGACAGTTGACAMCGACTTGTTAGGCGGTGCAGTAAGGGGTTTCATGTAGAGCTTTGGGCATTAAGTTTTACATATATTACAGAAGATTTATACTATTTAGAAGACTGATCTGCTAGAACGCAAATACTGCAAAACAAAACAATGTAAAAATTGTTTTCGAGTCGGTTGACCTTGCGCGCAGCCGAACTATCACGAACCTGCTGAAGCTGAAGCACCMGACAGGGTCATGCACGGATCTTTTTACCTTCAAAAACAATACAAATTTTACTATAAATTTGCGAGAATGTTACAGCTATAACGGCGAGAATGTATAAACAAGAATGTCTTTTAGTAGTTGAAAGATACAAATAAAATTGTAAAGAATATATTATCTTCTTTCGTGCAGGAAAGTTTGTTCTGTAATGCCGGTACAGGATGGTTCGGCGAGGATCTAATTACAGCGTCTCACACCTGCGAAAACAACAATTTCAAACCCCGCACGGATTATAAGCATCGAAAAAAACAATTCTATGATATCCTCATGAGTTAAAATGTAGTTTTCGTGAGTAAAGATGATCAATACACACACGTACGCGCTTTTTTCGTGTTAAACCCGTCACGCACCAATACTGTGATGTGACATATCAGAGATTTATGGCCTTGTTTGTCTTATATTTTTTAAATGAGATTCCAAAAAAAAACCCAACTATTTTTAAAAGTGAAAGTGCTAGTCTATTTTATGTCATCTTTCTGTGGTTTATTCTACTTTTCTTTTTCCTTTTTTAACGAAAACGAGAAATTTTTATACAAAAACAATTTGTCGTCACGCAATATACATAATTCTTCAAAATGTGTAGCGATTTCTTAATTAATTTTGTCCGATTTGCTATATTATTAATTTCCTTACAAATAACTGCATAAGAATTCTCATTTAAACAAACCCTGGTGTTAATTGGCGGCAGGAGACGTTTTGTTTCTCTGGAGTTTCCGTGCAAAACTTAATGTAACGCAACATGAGTTTTTATCAACCGGTGACATTTCCTCACAGATTTTGACACCTCAAAAAACGCAACCTTTATCCACTCGGTAGGTAAGACAAGAATGTTTTGCTGACCCAAGGCACTTCATAGGGGACAATTCTAAATATTCTACAGCCTTAAATTAAAAATATAAAAAAAATTGCTAAGTAAAGCAGAATTTATTTTTTCCGCAAAAGTGCAAATTATATAAAGTACCCTCCCATGGAAAGCCCCCTTCCTCAACCGAATCTGATTGGCTGCTATAAAAATACCTCCCTGTGATTGGCTAGTTCTTACATCATGCACGTGACCAAAGCGTGGAATAATATAATCGAAGTCCAATGTCCAAAAAAAATTATTTTGTTGCACTGYGTGATGCAGAAAGGAGGTTATTACAAAAGAAGTTTAGATTGAGCTGAGGGGAGAATAAAATGTCCAAGTGAAATGCTAGATCGTTTGGACTTACAGAAATGTGGTGTCTCGTTTCGCTGCCGGACTCGGTTATCAATGAATTCAAGTTAACTGAGAAGGCAAGAGGGCAACTGTTATTAGATCAGGTATACAAAAATCTTTCGACGACTCGTGACGAAATTTCACTTTTTGTAAGTCATTAAACATTTGTTTATTGAGCACTTTCTTTTTCAGGTTTGTCAGAGATTAGGTATAATAGAGGTTGACTATTTTGGGCTGCAATTTACGGGTGCAAAAGGCGAAACACTATGGCTGAACACAAGAAATCGTATCGACCGACAAGTATCCGGCAACGCGCCATATCGATTAAATTTTCGTGTCAAATTTTTCGTGCAGCCTCATCTCTTGCTTCAGGATTCTTCCAGGTAACGATTGTCATCAGAAATTTATATTAATGTGGGTTTTGTTTGAGGATAGCTAAAAGTAAGCTTTTAATAATTTGGAGATGATTTGCTGGATGTTTTTTTTGACCTGTCAAATAACAGTGCTCTTTGTTTCGATTGCAGACGTCTCTACTTTCTTCAACTTAAAAATGATTGCTGTGATGGGCGAATTATTGCTCCTCAAGCCACCAAAGCCCGCTTATATGGTCTCATCGCCCAAGCAACGACCGGGGACCACAACGATTCTCCATCGATCTGCAGCTACTGCAGGAACGTGGATGCCGAAAGGCGAGAGAGCTGGACTTCGGACTCTGTGGCTGCCGAACATGGCAAACTCACGGGAGTAAAATCAACCACAGCTGAATATCAATTTTTAAAAGAGCTTGCACAACTTGAAAACTATGGAACAGAGTTCCACACGGCGAAAAATGCGGAGGGGAATCACCTAAATATTGGAGTTAGCAGCGAAGAGTTGAGAATCTATGACTCAGAGTTCAATTTCATCGAGAGGTAAGCTATAAAGTCTCGTGATTTTGTTCACAGTTCAGTACATGGCAATCACACCTATTGATCGTGTTTTTGTTATAAAATCATTCAGCCAAAATATTTACAATAAAGGTCTTATAGGTCGAAAGTAATAGTTTATTCTAGGTCGTTTCAACATCGATCTTCACATGCTTCATCAGCTGTTTTTTAGCTCTTAAAAAATCAGTCACGCAGAATCTGAATGTTAGAGGACTTCGTCCTCCTAGGGCATCAACCTTATATTGCTTTGCAGAAACGTTTTTGCAGAATACAATGAAGATATAGCTAAAGATTGTTTTTGATGTTGTGTATTTTGTGCAAGTTCATGCATGCCCAAGTTGTTTTGCATTCTAAGCTGATGTCGTTCGAATCTTTCATTTTTGTGCATTCTGCTTAAGTTTTATAAATTTTTCTATACTCATTTTACTTTTGGAAAACAATATGCAAATATTCATCCTAGCAAAGGAAAACAACTTTACTTATTATAGCCATGATGTTAATATTTTGACTGGTTAACTATTTGTAAGAAATAAAAAAACACATATACATAAGCTTTTTRTCATCGTCCAATTTTTTATTTATTAGTTTTTCAGGGTTTTTTTTTCAGTTCTAATTGCTTTTCAAAGTTTTTCAAATTGAAAATGTATGAACCRTGTGACTTCTGCTGACTTTGTCATCCGGGTGCATATTCAGTATGTTTACTCAATGGTTTGAAATTATATACTTTTGGCTTTGCAATTTRGATGATATTGAATTTCTAACATGTCTAGCTGTGTGTGCAGAAGTTGCTTCTTTTCCCAAGATTACCTCTCATGTCGCTATTAATACCTAAAATAGCCTCAGGCTTGAGCTGTAACTACCATGATTATCGACGTTCTGTTTTGTATAAGACATGCCAATCTTGTTCAAAGCAAAGACACTTGATATAGAATTTTAGAAATTAAGTTATTGGAAATAGCCCTGAGATATATTTTTTGGTAATTTATGTAAGACAGAGTTTGAAACAACAGAAATTTGCACCTACATGACTGTTTAAATCACAACAGATCTGAGTAAAGTAGCTTTGAAAATATTAAACTCTCAAGATGGTTTCCTGTTTTCAAAGGGCACAATGCCAACATTGTTTTCTTTGACATTTTATCTTTAAAATAGATTTTATCATTTATTGTAGTTATTTTAAGTTCTAAAGACTCCCAAAATAATAGAAAACATTCCTAATTGTACACCTTACAATTTTAGCTCTGCACTTTGSGTTTTTTTTGCTTTCCTTTAATTGATATAACTTATTGATTTTGGTAAATAGCTTGTCATATCATACATGAATATTCAYTGGGATTGACTTTGTAAATAGTAGGCTGTTTTACGGTGTCCTTATGCCCTTACAAGAAAGAAATCTTTTAAGCTGTAGTTTATGTAAATATATACATGTAATACAATATTTGGGAACTTGAGCTCTTTTACAAGTAATACATTGTGCATTTTGAGGTTTTGCATTTACGTATATCTACTTAACAGGATAAAATCTTGMATTGTAGTGTGTCCTTGGCCTTGACACATCTCTGATTTACATAAACATGATCTCCCTCAAACCAAAAAGGTTTCTGACAGTTTTTTTGTTTTTGTGTGTGTGTGAGTTGAAGGTCAACATTTGAGCAAGCACAAAACATGCAATTGTATTTACACACATGTTTTCGGGGCTGTTAAGAATMAAAAAAGTTGTTATATAGCCTGATCATTTTAGCAAATAAAAAAATTAATTCTGATCATGTACAACGGAAATTCAGTGTACGTGTGTGTTATGAAAACAACATGATAATGATTGAAAAAGGCCAATGCCATCTCTTGATTTGCAGGAAATCAATCTTATATGAATAGATTGAGGTAGTGAGGTAGTGAGGTCTTTATATTTATATTTTTCTAAACAGATAAATAAAAATGTTGAATTTAAGCCAATGTACTTGATTCAAGTAAAGCTTAAAGTAATTGAATTGAAATATGGTTATTATAATAGTGGTTAGTTTGTAATTTTGGTCAGTATGCAGRTTATATACAATTTTGAGGTTTGATCTAAAAGCCAATGCAGCATTATTTCAAGAAAACTGAATTCGATCTCTATTCAATATTATTTGATAACTTTTGTCAAACATAAATGTTAAAATTTTCATATTTTTTTATGTCTTTTTTTAAGGCAAACATTTACATGATGTATATTATTTTGTTGTAAGAGAGGTTATTGGAAAAAGCTGCTCAAATTACAAATGATTAGATTTTGTTGTTCCTGTATAATTGTATTCTACCAGCTGAACCATGCTTTCAGAACACAAAGAACCATGAAACGGTCATGACCCTTTTCAGTTTCTAATAATAAAAGAWATTTTTTTATTCCGTGACAAATCCAATCCTTATAGATTCATGAACAATCATTTAACGCATGCCTAATTGTGACTTATTGTCAATGCTATTGTTCATGTGTTAATTGTTCATTGTGTGCCGYGATTAGCCTTTGAATTRAGAGGAGGTTGTGTGGGTGGCATTAATATTTTTTGTACGAATTAACACAAATATTCAAGAATTAACTTGTTGTAGTCTAAAGTCAGTCAATACTATTCTTTAATACCTAGTTGTGTGCCTCCGACCATGACTTAAAGTTGAATTAATGTTCATTGAAGTTATTTACATCAACAATAAGCAATTGAACCATTGGTATAATAGCCAAGCTTATCATGGAATAAACTGAGTATGCACACATCTTAATTTCCAAGAGAATCATGTAACAATTTGATATATGGTTGAATAAATATGTTAGATTAATGCTCTGAAAGATTAATTTAACCTCCCACTGTCATTAAAAAAGAGTATTTTGAATATAACATGCAAAGTTGTTTAAGATAATAAATTTCCTAAAAAATACTTGTGATCAGCTTTTATTTTTGAGATTTTTAGTGCATTAAGTTGAAGTTGAAGTTATTTGTATATAGTTGTACCCTTAAATGAAGTTARTTTTTTTCAAAAATATTTACCTGATTAAGTACTACTAGTCTGACAATTATCTTTTTCATTATTCTTGTTATTATGGAAAAGTCATGGTTTATGAAYGTTATTTGATAACTGTCATTTATAGTCTACACTTCAGCATCAAATATATTCCTAAAGCATCATTTTTTTATGTTTTTCAGAATATCCTACAATGGTCTTAAAATGGCAACACATGATGGCAAGAGTCTTTATTTAACGCTGATGGGAATGGAAGGAGATAGTATCCTGGAATTGAAATTACACACACAAGGTTTAGCCTGCGCATTGTACAGATCCATTACAGAATACCATGCCTTTTATCGCTGTGAAACTGTGCGAACCGCYGTAAAGTCCCAGTTCACTAGAGATTTCAAAGAGACATTTTTCTCATTATTCAACGAGGAAGAATCTGATAAAAAGTACATATTTGACGTTCGAAGAACTTGTAAAGAGGTATATGATCACTGTAGGAGAGTGTTATATAACCAAGGTCGCGATCCTATACACATGGTACCTTAYRTGCTTGAACAGGAAGTTTCAGTTCAGGAGTTGAATGCCAATGAAGCTACACCTCATGACAGTGATTTTAAGGAGAAGCTGCACAAAGTCGAGTATGATCTGCGGTGCAAGATYTGCATGGATGCTGAAATCAGTACTGTGTTTTGTCCGTGTGGGCATATGGTTTCATGTGATATCTGTGCTGAACAATTGAAGGCATGCCCAATGTGTCGYGGTGAAATTACAAATATCCAAAAGGCTTTCCTTCCGATATCATTGAACTGTTGAAATGACGGTATGAATATTATTGAACTCATGAAAGACACAAATATCGTTACATTCGTCAAATGAACATTAAGGTGAATGATGATGATGATGATGATGATGATGATGTTTGCTTTAATGATTCCAATACCTATAGATGATTATTAATTTTAGTAATTATAACCAAAACTCACAAAAAATTGAGAAACATTATTCAGTTGTTCCTACATATTTATTTTTAGTGTAAAAAGTGTAGCATAGGACATTCATAAAGCTTTACAGTTTTCTACGCTTTAGTATTATTTATAATATTAGATATTTGGTTAAGCAAAGTAGAATTTATCCAATCTTGTAGTTTAAAAGTTTCACTTCTGAAAGAGTACAACTGTAAGTTCTGAGCTGATAGACATACATATAGTATGTTATAACTAAAAAACTGTAGRTAATGAAAATCCAGTCTTTTTGAAGTAATAGTTAAGGTTATAATTGGCTATAAWTTGCTAAAGTAATGCATACTTTCCTGTTCAAATTCTGGAWATATGTGGAAAATGGCACYGCAGTATCTCTAGTTCACTGAGCCTKCTTGAGAGGTAATGGTGCTTCGGCATAGTGAGCTTGTTTAAGAAAAACCTATTTTTCATACATTGGGTAGCTATGCACAGGCATGCTCTGGCTCTTCTCACAGAAATGCAAAGGCACAGCTACCTTTTCAATCTTTGCAAGATGTCTCAGTGAATTGAGGAGTATTGCYACATACTTATTAGATACATTATTCCAAATTTCGAGATTTGTTGTAACAGAGTGATATGCTGTAGATTATATCATGGGTCTCATTACTTGTTTCAAAACCAACTATTCGAAATCTATGCTTAATATTACATGTATGTMCAATATTATTATTGAGTACAGGGTATAAAAATAAGTGCTGAACAGCGTAGCTAAGGGCTCTCTTTTTGATTGGCTCTTATTTTTTGCCCTGGAATACATATTTCATGGACTGGTAAAAAAACTATTATCTGTATAGCATTGTACACTGTAGATAAAACTCTTACTTACCTAGTATTATACACGAGGCCAGATATTCATACAAAGCTTTAAAGGGATTAGGGAGGGGATTATTACAAAGTACTTTTATTCTGTGCAGCACTTTACAACAACATTTATRAGATTTACTTATGTCACAATAAGTCACATCTATAAAGCTTAGAGAGCTGYGGGTGTCTTCTTTGAGTATACATTGCTCCAATCGGGCAGATTGTTCAAAATGTGATTAAGTCTAATTATCCTTTGAAAATCTTGGCCTAGAAGAAAGTTATTTCAATTTTCCTTAATGTTTTTGTAAAATTTATCCCTTGAACAAGAATGTTTGCAGTGGATAGCACTAACATTCACTCTCTTAGTCTACGGCCAGACAATAACTACAGATGGAAAATTATTTAARGGAAATAGAGATTAAGTTGCTCCATGTAAAAAAGAACAATCCCCTTGCACCAGGGAGAGCCCTGATCTGTAGCTTGAAAGGTAGCTGTGCTTTTGCATTTTGCCTGGAAAATGGTGAGCTTGYAAAGATCTTCTCTCACTGATACTTGTAAGACATCATTTTAAGSTTATTGTTTGTTGTWGAGGCAAAGCTGTCCTTTCAAATTAGTGCAGATAACTACTCGGACCACTGTTTCSAGCATTGGTATAGTTAATTTTTTTACYTKATGAATGTTGTTATAAATTGCTGCAATCAATAAGATATTTGAATTGTTCCAGGAATTGATGGTAATGGGTGGCAATGCAGGCACCAAGCCACCCAGCAGGAAAAGAGTTCCAGGAAAATATTGATTGACAAATAAATCCAATTATTATTGTCTAATGGTATTTCCCAAATATATTTCTGTATGACATAAGAACTTTTTTTTAAATAAAGTTGTTTTATTTTCCTTGACTTTGTTGCCATTAGCTACGGAGGAGTGGCTGCTAACCCCTTGAGAGTCTCCTGTACTAGTCCATTCCACAGACTTTTTGTGAAATACAAAATTATAGTGCATTGTGGTTTACATTCAGTACAAACAACGCCATATTTGGCAGCATGAACAAAAGATGTTTGTACCGAATCTAGACCACAATGCAATGCAAACTGGTATCTCAGAAAAGGCCTATTCAAAGCATGGTGCTAAAAATAGGCAAGACGCTTTCATCAAGGTTAGGGAGAGGGGTGGGGCTAACCACACTGGAGGGGTGGTATATATACAAGGGCTGTAACTATTTTGGACAATCAGTACTTTTTAAGTGTCAGTTTATATTGGTGCTATTTTTGCTATTTTTGTGCTAGTTTTGCAACCTCAGTTCTGTCACTTTTTATGTGGACTGGTAGTTGGATAGATGGTTTAATAATTAAAATGCAACCATGGCGATGGATAAGCCGGAAATGTCTCCTGTTTTGATGGGTTYCCTGTGGGATGGCTCGTGGTGCTTTGCGGGCCTAGTGTTATGGYGGACTGTAAAGTTGTTGCACGTGGATTCATAAAATGACATATTTTGAAGGTAAATCCGTTTAAAACTACTTATATTTCGACGTTACCCTTATCCTATTGTCATAAAGACCTTTTTAGACATTAAATATGTTGGTTTACTTGACGTTTTAGGGTAAASACATGAACATGTTCCTTTCTGACATGACGGAGGACAAACGAGTCGAAGTTCGTTGAGTTGTGGAGGTTAAGAGGTGGTAAGAATAGCTATAGATATTACATGTATAAGGAAGTCATGGAATTCATTGTTAGGCTCGTGAATGAAGTAAGGAGGAGTCAAATGTTATGATAACAATAGAAACAGGGCCATCCCCCTCCAGAGCATCATGGGTAATGTAAGCTTTTCAATTGAATGTCTTGTAAACAAACAAGCCATTGTTTTAGTGGTATCTTTATTCAATGTATGCATTATCAATTATATTGGAGCTGTGCTACCAAGACTACTTTTGCTACTTGTGTATAGTAGTATATGTATATTGTCTTAGACATAATTGACGTAGTTCAATAGAGAACAAAACCTCAAAGGAATCCATTTTTAACAAAAGATTGAGGCAACCGTACATTTGCTTGTTATTCCTGTATATGAAGGAGCACCTAGTACTTATTATTATTATGCTTTTAGAGTTCAAACACTAAAACTGTGCAACATAAGTACCACTAAATACTGCTAAATTATGCTAACTCTATTGTTTTCTATTGTTTAATTAACACTATTTTGTAGTAAAAAGTGGAAAGTGTTGCACACATTAAATGTTTGTACTCTACCTGGTATCAGTCTGAATATAAAACTAACTGATTGCATTCTGCACTATTGGTCCCAGTAACCATTTTATGCCCAGATACAACTCACCAGGTAAGAGAACTTTCAGCCTAAATATGCTGTACAGCACAAAGTGTAAATCGTTGGTTCTGCTACCTTGGTTACCTGTCCAATTGATGTTTTTGATGGGTGTAGGGGGAGTAATTTGTGTTACATGTTTGTACTTTGCAAGCAAAATTGTTTGCAAATAAGCAAGGACTGTAGAGTACGATGGTGTACTGATGGATTGACCAATCATGACTTATATTAGAATCAAACAAAATGAGAACCAATCATAAATTAGTTTATATGTTAAGGGATAGGTGCAGTAACTTGTCATAACAATTACTGGAAATATTGGAAAATTCAATTGCTCCATTGTCTCTTAATTGAATCAAGACCGGGGAATTTGAATATTTCTGTCTTCTTTTAAATRATTATTTTAGTTACTACTAGATGAGCATTGGATTTGGTAGAAAAGACTTTCTTTCCTTAGATGTTATGATGTTATGATGAACTTTTTATGTTAATTCATGTGGTTGTCCAGCTTTGTAGGTTTTGAGAGAAGTGYAAGAAATTTACTTTAAAGTATTGTCTGGAGGAAATTTTTTTGACATTTCACAATAAATTTTGGAAGTTTTGATGATTAAGGAACACAGCAAGCCTATTATAATTGTAGCACAATTTGGAGGAAGCATGGCAATAAATATTTCTTTTGAAGGTATTGTCAAAGAAATGTCGTGGTAGTTTGATCTGTACCCACCGTGCATTTCATATCTAGACATCAACAAATCATGTGTTCTTAAACTCATTATAACAAGAGAGCTGCAGCTTGACCAGTGAATGGTAATACCTGGAAATAAACCTCTAAGATGACAGGACTAGGATTGAGTTYGATGTGAATGCTGTCTTGTTTGTTGAAAATGGGAATTTTTTCCAAAAAAGCTTAAAAAGTGCACTTGTTACCCTCTAATGATCAAACGTTCACCTTTCATGTTTGAAGATACTTTTCTGTAGAAAATAATTCCAATTAAATTGATTGTACAGCAAATTTAAAATTATATCAAATATTTGTTTGTTGTTTGGTTTAGGCATATCATTGATCTTGTTTCATCAAACAATAAGTTATTTTATTACCAAACTTTCGGGCCTTAGGCTCATCATCAGGGTTAATGGAGTCAACACTAAAATCGTTACAATTCCACGCACGATATGGCGTAAACAACATTATCCTCGAGCGCTTACAAAAACAACAAATAAGCGTGAGCTATCATTAAGTTTGTGTTCTAGAATTACAATATTTTCAATTCAATAGAGAAATATAATTATCAGGCAGTTTTTTGCCGGAGTCTTCATTAAAAATAGCATTCTTGTTTCTTGAGATATAACATGCCTCTGCCCATTTATGCTGGTGCCATCTTCCTTCCGTCTCCAAGATCTTAGCATCCTGCCATGCTATCGAGTGTCCACTTCTAAGYGCGTGTTCGGATAACGCTGATCTTTCGGTCTTTTGTAGACGAACACTTGCCTGATGTTCTTTAATTCTCGTACCCACAGATCTTTTCGTCTCCCCAATGTATTCGGTATCGCATCCACCACATGGAATGGAATACACCACTCCAGTCTTCTTTTCTTTTGGCAAAGAATCTTTAATCTTACCGCTGAGAATTTTTCTCAAGGTGCTTGCTGGTCTTATGCTAACTTTTACATTATACGACTGCAATACTCGTTGTATCTTCTCCATTACACCTTGGACATACGGCTCTTCTCCGTTACACCTTGGATGTACAGCAAAGTGACATAGCCTTTGGGTTTCTTCACCAAATACTTGTTCTTTCTTAGAAGACTATTTGCTGAATTTCTTTATGAACTGGCGAGGATATCCATTGTCCAGTAGAGCTCTTTGTATGTGTGTATGTTCATTGTCAAGGTTCTTTTCAAGCAAAAGCAAGTTCTCTGCTCTGTAATACAAGGTGCGTACTACAGATGCTTTGTGCTTTGAAGGATGGTGACTTGAGAACTGGAGATATCTATCTATTAAAATTGTTTTCCTGGCCTTTCTTTGATGGCACTAATCTTAAACAAAGTTGTTTCAAAGTTGTTTCAGAAATGTGTACTTTTTTTTGAACGAGCATGAATATAGTTGTAGGGC